AAGATAAAAGAAAAATAAATTTGTTTCTATTTTGTAAAAATAAAACTTTTAAGTTAGAGGAAACATGTAGTCTCTTCAAACAATAAATGTATTTTACGCTGGACCCTACCGAGGAAACCACAGGAAAGATGCTCCCTCCTCCAAGTGGTGGAGAGAATGTACCATACCAAAATCATCTTTGAAAGATAACTTAAGTACTTAATGGAAAAAGCAACTAACCATCTAAATGCTATCAGTCACAGACTAAAAATTAGAACATCCACACAAACCTCATCAGAAAGAATCTAGGCCATAGTGGGTGGACACAAGTGGGTCCTTGTTCGCACAACTACAAGTTGAAGGAAAATAAATATAGGTGACATTATCTCAGAGTAATCTAAGGTCTGAGACCCAGACAATTTTTTACAGAGCATAACTTTAAACGAAAACAACAAGGCCAAAGCCACAAAGCTCCAAGCTGACCTCTTTATAGGGTTTGTTTCATTTAGATGTAATCTAATTGCAACAATCATAGCAAAATATGCATTCATAGCATCTGCAACAAAGAGAGGTACAAATATTGTCCACCATGACTGGTCAATTACACCATCCAACTGTAATGTTACAAGAGTAAGAAAAACAACGACTGAGGTTACATGCACCCACACTTCAAATAAAGTCATTCCTAACACAGCAACAATTTCTTTCCAAGAGAAAAACATATCTGATTCTAGTAAATATTTCAGGAAATAGGCAGAGCAAGACATTAATGTACAAGTCCTAACTAATTTTCATAAAAATAATAATAAAGCACTTCAAACCACAAACAAATTAAATTAATTTTGGGCTCCTGCTAATGCTGTCCTCTGGATACGGATGTGTACAACAGAATTTTGTCGAGTTTGTGTTTCATATGTTGCTTGGTCATGTAGAGGTTCCAAGTCGTCTGAAACATATTTATAATATATCACAAGTAGGTTCGGTAGTTGTGAAAAAAGTAAGATGACTAGGAAAATAACAAACCAATTAATGTGGTAGTGGATGTGTTGACAGTAAGTTGAACCGTCCCGAGAAATTTACTTTCTAGCTGCAATGCCAGATTGACGGCTCGGTTAACAGCAGCCCCCAAACCATGAACAAAGACTTCCTTCTCACCACTCTCTAGCAGCTTGAGACACTTGTCTAGCTCACTCTGAAAAGATTGGATAAGGCTTTTCAATACATACCATAGGGCAAAACAAACAATCCGTTCAGATATGGTAGCAGAAAAAAAAGGAGTTTTCAATTATTTCCAGGAAGCAGCCGTCTCCTGAGCAGGCTGTGTTAAGGTGACACACATGCTTATCTATTAAATGGCGTGGATCTTCAAGATCTTGATTGATTTTTGTAATTGAAACTTTCATTAAATTTACCTGAAAGTTTGAGCGGTTGGTGACGTAAATATCGTTAGGCCTCTTGGGAAGACGAGGTGGTTGCCTCTTCCGAACTACATGATCTTTGTCTGTCACCTTCTTGTTGCGATTCCAATGTTTGTTTTCCTGATTCCGATCAGATCTACTGTTGTCAGCTTCAGCCATGGACTCGAAATGGAATATAACTTTTCCTGTTACTGTTCAACATAGAAGTAAAAGGGCGTACAAATAGTCCGTACACGATAATATGAGGTTATGTGTAGTTTGTCAGAGAAGAGAAGATTTCAAGAAAAAAGTACACAAACACTGGTATGAGAATTCTATATGCCGGAATACGTGACTTTTGATACATTTCTAAAGAAGCATCTCGTTGAAGTTGAAGTTGAAATAGGAAGCAAGTCAGCCAAGAAGGGAAAAGGACTTACATTTTTCTGCCGAGCTGAAATGGAATCAAGACGACGAGAAGTTCGAAGACTTCCACACCATGAGCAGAATAGTTTATGCACCACAAGAGCCCCTTACCGACAAGGGAGACAATTAACTGCTGTCAAGGTATCTGTATGAGATGTATCCTGCCATAGCCTGTCACTGTTTTTAGTATTTGACTATTTTCTTTTGCCATTTGTTGTCAGTATGAGTCTTCCTTAATTCACAATCAGTCTATGAAACTTTCTACACCAGGTTTACACAGTGAATGATGAGTCGCAACATTTAATTATTTCTGGAGTTCCATCATTAGGCTTACAAGATGAATTACGAAGACTATGCTGTCGTTTTGGTGATGTCAAATCTCTTGTGTACATTCCTAATTATGACACCGAAAAATTTGTTGAAGCATATCATGTTAATTTCTCAAGAGTCCAAAGCTCCAGGTAAGTCAATGTTTCTGCACTATATGTTGTTCAAATTCATCTCAACATAATTTAATCCTTGATTTAAGACATGCGAAACGGCATATAGATGGAAGAGCATTTTTTGGAGGTTCCCTTCATGTTTGTTATGCTCCTGAGATGGAGTCTATTTCTGAAACTAGATGTAAACTAATTCAAAGAAGGCATGAAGTGACTAGGCGTTCTGTCGCGAATGAGACTACAAGAAGTTCAAACTTGCCAGAAGTCGGGTAATCAATATCTTTGAACACAGTGAAGTACTAGTATTGTTAAATTTCACTGCATTGATTTTTTTTTAATTTGATTTAGAAAAACAGTTACAAGTGGTATTACTAGAGGTACTGGTCCCTATGCAGTAACAAACAGGTGCATATGGAATGGCAAAGAGATTTCTTCGGATCCTCGAATTTTGGCACCAGCAAAGGAATTAGAGAGGGTAAATCTATCTATCTATCTTTATTGGAGGATGCTGTTATAGTTTGCTGTTTAGTATGAAATTGTTTCGTTCAACAGGCATCCTCTGCTATCTATGGACCCCAACCTCGTACCCATGATTGGAGTGATGTTGGTGTAAGAGAAGTTGTCATGACCCCACTACTGCCAAAGAGCTCACCCATACCAAAAAAACAAATTTCAAAACAACTGCAGTTGTCCATGACTGTTCACAAACCGGGAACTCAGTCTGAAACTGTCATTAAAACAGTACCCCCAATTTTGAAGTTGATTCCATCACAAGTAAAGTCTGCCCATAAGAAAATAATCTTTCATCCAAAGTCAAAGTAAGAACCTCAAATACAAGGCTAATCAATACATGTGCATCTGTTGATTTTTACTAAAATACATTCTTCAGTACCAATTTAGGTGTTTCTACTGGAGATCAATCTCTGGATTCAACAATTTCCAAAGTCCGAGAAAAAATTAGATCTGTAAGTAGCTTTTACTGCATTGGTAACAGTATTGCAAAATGTTTAACTCAAACCCTCAAGATAAACCACTATTATTTTTTTCTACAGGTCACTGTGCCCAACATAAAAATAATGCTTGAAAAAAATTTATAAAGTTCTTTCACTGAAATAAAATGCTTGATGCATATTTGTTTATGTGCTTTATTTACATACTATAATCTAATATGGTGATGATCCAAAACAAATTATCAATTATTAATTGAGAAAAGTCATGCAAAGTGCACTTAAAACTTATTTAAAATACAGTTCAATTGTTAGGCATGTCAAAAAGACATTACAAACTATGTATGAATTATTGTACCACCCTAGTGGTAGCCAGCATACGATGAACCTTGTGACAAAAAGGTCGCAGTTGTTACAGATAAAACTTATTCCTGTAAGTGGGGACAAATCTTATTTCAAATTTTAACTAAATACTAAGAAACAATACTATAAAACCTGTCAAAATCTTAGTTTAAATAACAACTGATGTATCCTGGTCCCATTGAGCAAGAACTTGCTTCTTGGAAGTTGACGTTAATAAGTTTTCATTATTGTTGGCAAGACCTTTACGATTTGATCTCCCATTGACATTAGAGTTCTCCTTCTTGCTGCTACCTAGTGGTCGGATTTTCGAAGGAGTAACAATGTGATCGTCAGATGAATAAATTTTAACTTTTGTCAACATTTCTTTTTCAATGGTTTGAGTTTGCTTTGCTCTTAAAATACTGTTGGGAGTTCTATTACGGTTGCAAATCGGGGTAAGAGGAGTTCTTGAGCGATTGGTTCCAACCTAAATCAGAAAATAGAAAAAGGGTAAATTAAAAACATGTTAAATTGGAAAAAGAGTAAAAATTACAAATTGTATGCGTTTACCTTTTTAGTGCCCTCTGGCGTTGACAAACATTGTTTTTCATCTGAGTCACACTTTTGGACAGCAACTTCTTGGAAAACTTGGAGTTTATTTCCTGCTTTTGGTACCCCCTCATTGCTTTGATGATCATGAACCAAAGTAGGAGGTGGAGGAGATATGTCATCTTTCAGGCCATCAGTTTCAGGTTTAAGTTCCTAAAAGAAGAAGAAACAATTTAAATTTGGTATGAGAGCAGCAGTATCAGTAGCTATTGATCAAGAATCTTAAGCTTACCGTTTCAGGAGTAGAAACAGTGTCTTCATTCTCCTTATCACTCTCGTCTTCAACCTCGCTGATAAATGCAGATGGATCACTACAATCGCGAGTAAATTCAGAAGAACAAAGGGAATTATTAAATAGGTCCTGACTGGAGAGTGAACCAACACTCATTGTATCATCAAAATGAAGAGGAGATGGATTTCTCTGTGGATGTTTTCCAATCTGTGAAAGAAAAACAAATGGTGTTACACAAGGTTGTTCAGAATATTGATAGACCTTAATTTTTGTATTAAACAAACCTGAATAGGTGTCCGAACTATATTGGTTGAAGGAGAACGTGGGTCAATTCCCAGAAAACGAAGTTTCATCAAATGTGCACAAGAAAGACCAGGCGGCAAAGATGTATCTTGCTCATTAATGGAATCTTCTGGTTTCGCATGTGATTCACTGGTTGACAAAGTATCCAAGTCCGTTTCCAGATAGCTCTTGCGTATTTTCAACACAGTTGGGGAGTCTTCAGCAACCCTTTGAGAAAACTTAGGACCAACCTACACAAATATTGAAGGGTAATTGGGTGTATAATTACATAAGGTGAATGCATGAATATACACACAAATAAAAACAGTACTGATTCCTCTCACCTCAATGGGTGTCCGAACTATTTCAGTACTTGGTGATCGGGGGTCGAAATCCATTGCACGAATTGGTTGGTTGGAAGTGGGCGTAACAGGACACGAGTCGGCTTCTGTTGATGGCTTGATCTCTGTTTGAGGGTTGGCAGGGTCGGGTACAGACACATATTGAGTCTCAAAACCTCCAACGTCTCCGAGGTCTCGCAGATGGCGGCTTAGGGCAGAACCCATTTCTAAACTACCACATGAAACAAAACAATGAGAGGAGACAAAATTCATAAGACGACATAATAGGCTAAGTGCGTGAATGTACACCAATAATACAAACAAATAATGCAGTGACACATAAGAGAAAATTAATCATCTGTCCCATCCGAAGCAGCCAAGTATGGAACGTTATATGATTTTGACTCAAAGAGTAGCAATTATTTCCAAACAACTAGACAAACCATGCAGGAAACCTTGGCTTTGAAGGACTTACGACTGGTGCAGCAACTATGAACAGGCGAAGAATCAGCACGCAATCCTGTTAGGTGTTCGCGTTCTTGAACCGTGCATTTAAAATCTACCGGTGGCCTGCTTTGTTTTTAACGGATTTCAAGATGGCGTCTGCCTGCACCCCCGAAACGTTGCCAACTCTCAAACTGGAAATACAACAGTGTAGCAGTGTTACTTTTTCCCAGGAAATAATGTTAATTCAAGAAAAAATTTGTCCAAAAAATGATTAATTGGTGTAGCAGTCACACATTTCCCAAAAGTCTGAGTAAATTGAAATTCTTGGAAATTTTGTGTCTCTTATTTTATTTTTTTGTAGAAGGCCGTTGCCACTGCAGACTATTTTGACAGCAGCCAGCCAGCAGGCCAAAATCTGAAATTTTAAAGTGTTTCAACACGACCAGCATTTGATTTTAATTTGTATTATTACTGCGAGTAATTACATTCAACTCTTAAATATGTTTCTAAATCCAGCCGTTGGTTTTTCTTTTGAAAAATTGTTTGTGCATCATAAACATAGAACATAGACAATCCCGAAGGAGAAGAATCATAACCTCTTCACAACACCTATTAATACTGTTTTCTTCTTGTTTGCTATCACCAAATCTGCTAGATTTATTTTTAAAGATCACTGCCATTTCTCTATATGACAAGGTTTTACTATGTGTAAAATAGTTGAGAATGGAACGAAGAACTTCTGCTTGACACACAGAGGGGTAGTACATCATTGTCAATATTGTTAGGGTCTTCTGGTTTTGCTCAATGGTCAGAATGAACCATGACATCCGTCTTTTTCCTCGTTTAAAATAACAAACATTCTACTATTACTTATTTATTTTTCTGTTCATTATTATGATGATTCAGAGTAGATGTTCGACTGAAACGTCTTGTGACAATGAAAAGCCAAATTTGCAGGATGTCTCTGAATGTTCTAATGCTAATAGCTCATTTTCATGTTCTGTGACTAACAATTCAAAATCTGTGCCTTTGAACGAACTTTTAGAAAAGATACCATTAGCTTATAGTCCATTAACAAAGCAGCTTCACATATTATATCCAAAACAAGAAGCTAGCGAGAAAGTAGTGGATGGTTTTGAGAGTCTAAAGTCCAGGGAGAACATAAATTCATCAAATAATTATCTGAATAGTGATGAGCAGCTTGAAGATGAGATGAGCAATGCTTCAACACAAGAAATGGTAGTTAGTCATTGTGAAGGAGATGGAAGCTCTCTATCAAGTGAAACATCTCACCAGCTTGAGGAGGGCCTTGTTGATGACAGTAATAAGCGCAAAAAGAAAGGCATTGGTAGTTTCTTCTCAAGGTATTGATAACAATGTGGATATTTTCCATTTTTAATTATTTTTTTTTAAAGTTTTGTGATTGAAAGCTAACTGTCCATGTACATTTAAATTTTTCAGAGGTGTATTTCTTTGGAAAAATAGAGACTCTCCTGCATCTAGTGCCGCCACATACACAAGTAGTCCAGGATGGAAGTTTTTCAGCAAATCAGTGTTTGACCACTCACTTTCTAGTGTGTGCCCAAACGATGAGGTAAGGTGAAAATAAGAAAAAAAGCCTTGAGATATTTTTGAAAACTTAGTTCAAGACGTCACAGAACCATTTTCTTTATAACAGGAAATTGCCACTGCTAGCTCAGTGAGCCCCTTAGGCTCTCCAACAAGTTTAAGATCATCTGCGAGCAGTAGTAAACGATATGAAGATGTGATTGCCAGTAGCAGTGCTCTCATATTGCATGATAGACCTGCAAATCTTCCTGCTAAATCTGTGGATGAGGAAGCCAAACACAAACAAGAATACGAGCAAATGGTAGAGGCAGCAAAAAAACGAGGTAAATGTTTTACAATCCATGTTAAGGAAGAGTAGATATTTTACAAAATTGAGTTAAGTGTTTTCTTCTCACTCCATAGTCCATCCTCTTACCTTTGTATGAAACTTTTGTCTTTCAGAACGCCAGGAAGCCAGAATTAAGAAAAAACAAATGCAACAGCAAATAAAAACAGAAGAAAGACTAGCTCATGCTACTAAAATTTGGCTAACTGATATTCTTCCTAAGTGGAGTTCTGTGTAAGCCCTGCAATTAAGAAATCTATTTAAATCCTTAAAACTTAACTTTTTTAAACCCTCTTTTTTCTTTTTCCCGGTCAGTATGAGTTCTCGTAAAATTCAGAATCTTTGGTGGCAGGGTATTCCACCTTGTGTTCGAGGCAAAGTATGGCTCCTGGCCATTGGTAATGAACTTAATGTTACTCCAGAGTTGTATGAAATTTGTGTGACAAGGTATATGATTATTTTCAGACTCAGATGGTTGGACTTTTCTACCTAACTATTTCATTCTCTATATGTAAATTCTCTGTATATTAATTCTCAGGGCCCATGAACTACTCAAAACTGTAAGCAACACAACCAGTTGTGACTCTGGCACTGAAATTGACAATCCTGATAGACAAGCCAGTGTTGAACTGATTCAGCTAGATATATCAAGGACATTCCCTCAGTTATGTATTTTTCAAAAAGTAAGTTCTTTTCAAATGAACTTTTTCCTTCTTGGATATTGTGTAAATGGTAATTTTTTAAGAGGACGAACTTTACATCTGTATTAAAACCTTATATTATTACATCATACCTTCCATTGCAGGGTGGTCCATATTATGATATATTGCACAGCCTTCTTGGTGCTTACGCATGTTACAGACCTGATATTGGGTATGTTCAAGGCATGTCTTTTTTGGCAGCCATATTGATTTTGAACATGGAAGAGACTGAAGCATTTGTGTGTTTTGCCAATCTTCTCAACCGTCCATGCCATATGGCATTCTTCAGATTAGATCAGGCCATGGTATCTAATCCATTGAATCTACCATGCAGATTTGCTGTTATTTAAATGATTCTGAACTTAATTTGAGTGCACCTGTTACTTGTCTTTAGATGCAAGCTTATTATTCCGTGTTTGAGCAACTGATGGCAGACAACCTCCCAAAAATTCATTGCCACTTTTTAAAATCACATCTGTCTCCAGACTTATATCTTCTTGATTGGATTTACACTGTATTTGCCAAAGCCATGCCCTTAGATGTGGCTTGCAGAGTGTGGGATGTTTTTCTTAGAGATGGTGAGGAATTTTTGTTCCGCACCGCCTTAGGTAAGCTTAATATTTTTAATTAACTTCAAATTTTTCTACTTGTCATGCATCGTAATTACAATCTAAATCTTGAATTCAATTTTCCAGGTGTTCTTCATCTGTATCAGGAGCTATTGTTAGGTTTTGACTTTCTGGTTGGGGCACAGTTTTTAACAAAACTTCCAGAAGATTTGAATGCAGATAATCTCTTCCTCTCCATACAAGGAATTCGAATGCAAAGATACTCTGATTTGCTCACTATGTATCGCTCAACATGTGTAGCTTCTAGTGGTTCATATTGCAGTACAACGAACAGTTCAGGAACGAACACTCCAATAGAATTAAACTAAGGCTTTGATGTTTGTGGTAACAGCAAAGAAGTACAAATGATGAAATTTAGTATAGTTTGAACATAGAACAGAAAATCAACTATTTTTTTAATGTATAGTTAATGTGAGATTAAGTCATGGTTGTTTTGTCTATTTCGTTAAGTTTGCTCATATGCCTGATGATAAACAGAATAGTTTACTTGCAACATGTTTTAGAAACATGATGATGTGTCTGTGACATGATATTATATTTTAGCAAATTTACATTTTTAAATATGTTGCCATGTAAAGCTGATAATTAACCTATCTAAAATTATCATTATTGGTTTACTCAAACCTATTATTGCAATAACTTTATCAAAGACAATATTCTGGAGAAAGTTGTACACATTTTAAATAGTGATACTGAAAGCAGACGGAACTGAGGTTATTCATAAACTTTGTTCCTGCTTTAGAGAGCATCATATGAAATTCCTTGCTTTACTGGTTCTTCCATCTAAATTTTGCTTATGTATTATTATCATTGAATACAAAAACTAGCAGTTACTTTATACGACATTATCTCTTAGTTTCTCATTAATTCTCATCAGCAGAACCCAAGAGTGGTCCTGTGATTTGTCACAACATCTCTTTCTAATGTGATTTATGTACCTCTCAAGAGCTGCAGTTAAAGCAACTAGTCAATGCAAATTACTAATTTTCTATAGCATTCAATCAGCTAGTTCTAAAAGTTTATCTTTTTTTATATTCTATTATCCAGTTTTGTTTTTAAAAACTTCTATCTGTTTTGACTTGTTGAAAAATTTTGTTTTGTTTCAAGTTTTAGAATCTCAAAGTGAGGGTCAAAGACCTCCTTTTGTGGTATACTTTATTTTAGTTATTATAACATTTTTGAAGGTTACTGGTAAACTTACCTTTTCTTTTTTTTTTTTTAGAAACTGTTTGTTGTAGTTGAAGTCCTTTCTTTGTCATAAAATTATACTTGCTCAATAGTATATATTTCAGCTTCAATCAGCTAATAGTAATCAGTTCCTATTTATGTTCACCAGTGAGTATTAGCTATTGTAAGTCTGCCAAGATGTATGGATAAACCTGAATCTCATGAGTTACACCTCTAATTTAGGGTTGGTTGGTGAGTCCTTTCATTATTAAATTATGTCAAAGACTAACAAAAATCCTGCCTCACAATTGTAATAACACTTTAACATTTACTTCAAACACTTCAGCTGTCTGTTCTTGTATTTGCTTCAATGCTTTTTTTCTTTTTTTTTTTTTTTGCTTAGTGTCTCAATGAATCTGTGCTCCTAAAGTAACTCATTCCATAGGTTCTGGTATTATCATACCAGTACATTTAAAGTGCCAACTATTTCTACATTCTGCCCTCTTCATGTCCATGCTATAAGAGTTGATTCTAAGCATTGACATTCAATTTGACTTTGAATTACTTGTTATCAAGGTTATCTTCAATAAGAATAGCTTTAGTGTTAAATATCTATATTTTTGTATAATTCTGAATCTGAAAACACTTATTCATTTATATGAGTGGTACTGTAAGATCACTTCACCAAAGAATCACATTTTAGTGTGATGAACTGTGTTGCACAAGACGTTGCGTTAGATATGCAGGGACCATGTTCGTGTGTTCAAACGTTGTAAAGTGAGGATATATAACGTTGTCAAGGCCTGGATTGAGGATTGTATCTCAATGCATAAAAATTTCTCAAACTCATCATATTAGAGGCCATATGTTTTAATTTTTTCATCTACTTATTTCAGTCAAAACAAATTCCTCTTATAATGGAAGATAACATTGCAATACAATAAAACATTAATTTATTTGTTAACTCGTTTACTTTTATGAGTGTCTCACATGACTGGGTAATTAGCCTTATGATTATGCCTGTTATTTTTTTTTAGTTGTACTTTGTTTTATGTATCAACAAGATCTTGAAATAGAACATATCAATATTAAAAACAACCTGTATAATTTTGTTTCCTTTTAATGGAGAGATTTACTGCAAAGAAATCACATGATTAAGGTTGTTGAGAAAATAGTTTATGAATTTCTAGTGGGCATGCACAATTTAAAAAACAATCAGGTATGTATATAGCTATGGCACAATGATAATCACTTTGGTGAATACTATGAATGATTTAAAGTATGTAAATCATACAATAGTCAGTTAAATGTAGGCGCATCTGAGACAGACCTATTGCTCCAGTCAGAATCTAAAGAAGGCTATAAAAATCCTTATGATATGATCGCTATAATCATTACTACTTCAGTTGAGAACAATGTATGGCACATTACATATTACAATACAAACTTGACACTTACCATGACAAAGAATATAAAACTGAGAAGGAAACAACAGTCTTTAGAATTTCAAATATTACTACAGCCAACCAATAAACAAGTGTACTGAGTAGTTTAAGATAACAGGTAAATAGAGCTGTGCGAATTGTTCAATATTGAATCGAATCGGCCAATTTGAATTTGTTTGATTTCAAATTTGTCAGATTCGCTGTTGAATAATTCAAAAAAAAAAAATATCAGGTTGGTTCGCCATCGAATTGCATTGAGTCTGGTGCCCACACGCCCACACCACGTTGCACCGTTGTCGTCCATCTACGAAACGTTTGAACGAAAAATACAAGTTTCTATTTATGATTCGATTCGAGCTCGAATTTGGACTGATTCGACTCAAAATTTTTAAGCCAATTCAATTCAATGCAATACAAGTTTCTATTTATGATTCGATTCGGGCTCAAATTTGGACTGATTCGACTCATAATTTTTAAGCCAATTCAATTCAATGCAATTTGAAGAAAATTTTTGAGATTCAATTTGATTTGATTGAATTTCTCCAGACGGAGGATGATGCTTGGAGAGGTGAAAATTCAGGTTTGACTTTTGAGTAAAAGCCTTGGGACATGACGGACACAAAAATGGCTTTTCACCAGTGTGAAGACGTGTATGATTGATTAAACCAGATTTTTGAGTGAAAGATTTATCACAAAACTGACACTCATAAGGTCTCTCCCCAGTGTGGATTCTACGGTGCACATTGAGATGATTTTCTGAATGAAAAGCTTTACCACAAACTTCACAAGGAAACAACCCTACACCAGTATGTGTTTTAATATGGAGCTTATAATTATTTTTAGAAGTATAAGCCTTCCCACACAATTGACAGATGTGTTGTTTCATGTTAGGGTGAGTAGCCCAGTGTCGAGAGAGATCAGCTTTAAGTAAGAACATGGCATTGCATACCTTGCATACATGGAAGCTTCTTCCGATGTGAACAGCTTGATGAATTGTCAACAGATCAGAGTTAGGAAAAGAACTCTCACATTTTTCACACTTATAGTCTCCTCTTGCTGATAACTCAAACTTTCCATCATTTATAATTTGTTTTAGTGGCACATTCAAAACAACTCTTTCTGGTTTTACTTCAGACATTAATAGGGATGTACCAGTAGAACATGAATCTTGCACTGGGTCTTGAGAAAGGTCATCATTTGGTTTTAATTTTGTAGCTGTCTGCTGAAGGTTGATTGTCTGTTTACAGTCTCCCTCGAGCTGTTTCGAAACCAGCAGGTCAGGTATAGAAGACTTTGACGCCAGTGGATCCTCTGAGTATTTAACAGAAGAAACATCCTGAAAAATAAAATAAAAAACCAGACTTTAAGAGGTTACTTGAAGAACCCTAAGTTACGATGAGATGTGATTTGACACACAACCCACTACAAAGACATAAATCAATAAAGCATGTACGGTAATGTTTTCAGAGGATAAATCATAAACATCAAACAGAATTGTGAAATTTTATAGATAAGAAAAGTGGAAGACAAGAAATGAAACGAGTGAATTTGAGAGATTTGCCTGAAATAATCTTTCTTTGATAATGGCATTTACAGTTCACTTAAGTGTTAAGCATTCACTTAAATACGAGAAACATCTCAAATTTTTTCTGTTTTCAGTTTGTTTGGTTTAAAAAAAATGAAAACTTTAAAAGTTGTATGGCAAAGTGAGGAATTACCTCTTTAAATCTTCTGGAATCAATACTTTCAATCTTGATTTTCAATTGCCTGTTTTCCTCTCTGAGATCTGACACTTGAGCATGTAAGTCAGCCATTGTGAAGAGAGCCTGACTCAGTTGAGCAGCAATTTGACGACAGCACCACCCAGGGTAGTGCGTGTCCTCCGACATCACTACTCACCACACTACACACACACACACACAGACACAGAAATACAGAGTTTTCAAATTGGCATGCATGTAGACTCAAGTGAACAAAAACTATAACTCAAGCATCCCTTATCATTTTTAAAACGTCAGAAATATTGAAATATGAATTGTTAAAAAAACTAATGAAGAAAAGGGAAGTTCTCCACCAAAAACACTGTCAAAATGTTTCAAATAAAAGTTAATTCAAGTTAAATGATTTAAATCTATAACAGAGCAGCTGAACAGCAAGCATACAAAACAAATCTCTTTAATCAGAAACTACATCCTAGACACCATAAAAATTTCCTCAGCATTTATAAGAAGTAAATTACTTATCAAGTGTAACCACAACTATATTTAAACAGTACCTGAATAAGATTGCTTACCTTCTGCTCTTGGGCCATCATGTGTTGAAAGTTCTCCACCTACAAAGTTATTAAAAAATATAATTAGTGCGTGTTGGAAATTTTTTGGCTGTCCCTCCCTCGCAAGCGGACCTCACTAAATTTAGCATAGACTCATGGCGCGACTAGGACACTATGGAAAGTATTAAAATTATCAACGAAATTAACATAGCACAGCACCTCACCGTTTGAGGCACATGATGTAAAATCATAATACTGTTAGCTGGTTATTAAATCAAAATAGTAATTGAAGTCTACTAAGAATTGGGGTACAATAACAAACTGATTATCACAATAGTCTGGCAGATGCTGCAGATACCAATATACTGTTAGAGAAATTCAATTATATAGATTTCTTCATAAGTCATACACAACACAAAGGAAACATTAGCTGTCCTTTTAAAAGGGAAATGATGCTAAGCTCAAGGAGATTGGAGGTAAAAAGTTACTTCTAAATAAAATAGAACAGGATATAACTTACATCAAAATGATAACAAAACGTCGATACCAAAATAAATTAGACGCCCGAAACTAAAAGTTTAATGCCTGAAATGATCTTTCTTCGAACGTCAAGCTTGTCTGAGAGGTCGCTCTGATTTTCCAGAAGGTAAATAACATAAAAAAAAGAATTGAATACTCCTCCCACCCTTACCCCCCCTACGACCCTTGTTTTTTCCCCCTCATTTTTTCGCTAGCGTTGACGTTGAGTTTCGTACACCACACTATTTTCACAAAACTAAATCCTTAATGAAAGTAATCCTCACATGGCTTCTGTAGGATATAATCAAAAATTTAGAAAGGATCAAATTCAGAAGAAAACATGACCAAGAAGTATCGATACTATTTTTTTGTTGTCCCAAGAAAGTGGAGTGGAGGGGGTAAATGCTGGGGAAAAAAATCAACTCGTAATCGTGAGAAAGGTGCAATAAGTACGCTAAAAGGGGCTATATTCTATGAATTTCTTATCAGAAATTTACTACAGACTAGCATAGGGTGTCGAAGAAAAATAGTAGACGCTATGCAGTAAGGGACAAACCCCAAAATGGTCTGAAGAACCCTTTGCAACTTCCCAACGATTGAAAAAAAACAAGATGGTCATAGCCTCTTCGGCTGTAAACTTCTTTAAGATTTACCAGGTCAACATCTCTTTCAAAGATCATAAGAGTACGTTTCACGATTTCTAAATAAAGTAATGAATTTATTTTGATGACAAATTTTGCCGGTGCACCTCCGTAAGCTCAGAGAACACATCCTAAACATGTCGAGATTTCATTACGCACATGCGCCCTCCGAAAAAAAAGTAAAAATTGTGGTCACCGGTAACCAAACGAGAAGTGAAGAACAAGAAGAAAGCTCAAACATAGGCTTAGCTAGCTTAGCGTATAGGCTTACAATTTCATGTATTTTGGTAATTTGCGTTGTAAATGGTTTCGAGTGCAATGACGCCCGATTTTAACAGAATATGCCGGTTATGTTTAATTGAAGAATACTCCCTCGTTCCCATTTTTGACGAGGGCAAGCTGAGCAGGCAGACGGTGCCCCTCTCACAACAAATGATGTCCATCGCTTCCCTAAAGGTAAGTTGCTAATGGTATTGCATCTATCATTGCGGTAAATAGAAATGAGAACTTTTACTCGCCGCACATTTTTGGCGGCATTGCTCAACCCCCAACGCGCACACTCGCCACTTGTTTACAACAGCTGATTTCCTGTGGCTTGATTCCATTGAAGAGCGCGCCTTGCCTTGACTAGGCTATCGGTCTCTGTGTAGTTTTTGAACTAAAAGGTGAAGACGGTATTGTTCGTTTATATATTCGTGGCAAGATTATCATTGTGTTATGGTGTTGATGTTTTTTTTGTTTTGTTTTTTCATTTGATTACTATCACAATGTGTCGTCATTATATCAAGAGCATCATGTTTACAAACATGGATTGCTCATTGCTCTAGAGCAGATAATGCTCAATTATATGCAAATGGCTCACTATCTTTTCAACCCCATTGTACTAATTTATGTGTGAGATTCCTAGTCTTAGTTTGATGAAATTTCTCTAACTCCTTGTTATTTTGTTGTTGAACTGAATCTGAATAATTTCAAAGAATTGTTACGTTTTCTTTCAGTTATCGTCTTGTGATGGGTTACCAAACAAAATCTGTCATAGCTGTCTTAATCAAGTTCATAGATCATATGAATTCAAAACTCTATGTGAGCGCTCAGATGCAACATTACGTCAATTCATTGGGCGTCAAATGCATCAATCTGTCAGTACTCAGGTAAACTCAAACTATTTTGCATTTTTTATTTCCCTGCAATGTTTCTTTCTTGTTTTTGTATTTGTCACAGTATGATTTGCGCACTATTTAAATATTATTTTTATCACTTTTTATAGACTCTTCAGAATGTAACTGCAAGTGATGTTAATCTTTCACAAGGTGCTACAGCTCCTGCTGGCCAATATTCCAACTCTAAAAGTGATATGGAGGTAGTTCATTTTGTTTTTTTTAATAATAATTTTAAAAAAATTGGGGGGGGGGATAAATTGTTGGCTCTATTTTGTCTCTAATTTTGAATTTCTGTTTAGGACATGAATCAGGGTGAACTGCCCAAAGAGGAACAACCTCCCAACTATGCAGCATTTGGAGTCCGGCACATTTCATCACAAGATGGACTCCCTCACAATGTTTCATCCCATCAAGATTCTGACAAAATTCATCACCACCCCGGCTGGCAGGATGAGAGTCTCAAGGATCCTTCAGGCCATAATGTGGGACTACACACTCTGAAGAGTGTTCCTTTTTCCCATGAAAATAGTCCCACACCAAAGTGGGAGTTTGAAGAAAGGAAACCACCAACTGTGCAGGAGTTCATATCAAATTTACATCAATTTGCTCATCCTGTTCAGAATGGAGAGCGACAATCTCAATTTCCAGCCAATCAGGAGGATCAAACACAACCGTCCAACTCTCCACATCATGGTCCCTCAGTTCTCAATAATTTAAAGCCTTCTGGTCTCATGAAACAAGCAGATTCTTTTGCTGGACCAGTTTTTGTGCCGACTAAGAGGGCTCAAAGTGGTATCAAGAGTGTGTATTACTGTGATTTGTGTTCAAAAATGTATTCAAGTGCTGGAGCACTTTGGAATCACAAACTAATTCACACAGGTACCAAACCCCATACATGCACAGTTTGTAACAAACAGTTCTATCAATTGGCAAATCTTAAATATCATGAAAAGACTCATGGAGAAAAGCAGTGGTACACATGTCAGACCTGTCGGAAGACATTGAAAACCGAATTAGGTCTCAAATTGCACTCTTTGCAACATAGTGGAGAAAAGCCATACCTCTGCCCATATTGCAATAAGCCATTCACTACCCTAGGTGTCCTCGAAGCTCATGTTCGAATTCATACTGGAGAGAAACCATATGAATGTAGCTATTGCTTTAAAACATTTGCGCAGCAAGGTACTCTGACTTGTCACATTCGACGCCACACAGGTGAAAAGCCCTTCTCTTGTAAAGTATGTCAAAAGTCATTCACTCAAAGAGCAAATCTTAATGAGCATATCAAGAGGTACCATCCCGATCAATTGGAGCAAAAACCTAATGTTCATCAGATGCAAGTGGCAATGGCAGAACACCATCAACAGATGTCTCAGTTGTCTGGAACTCCTCATCCTCAGCAGCCTACAACACCAGGTCCTCAGCAATCCTCAACACCACAGCTGCAACAACCACCAACACCAGGTTTACAGCAACCTGCAACACCACAACTCCAACAGCCGCCCACACCTCAAATGCCGCAACCATCCACACCTCAGCCGCACCTGCAGGACCACCAGCTTCAAGGTGGTTCTGTCTCTGTGCCTCAAGTCAGCCAGGTGTAGTTATCTGGCTGCCCTGCTGTTTGGACAGCCAGTAGGGCTCGCCTCATCAAGCCTGCCATTATTTTTAATCCCTTCTGCACATCAATTTGAATTTAATTGACAAAGTTTTACACTGTGGAACATTGTTTTATTGAACTCTCTACTTGTTTAAAAAAAAATGATATTCTGATTTTATTTTACGTATTTTATTTTACGTATTTTATTTTATTTTGTTTTTACCCTCTGAAGGGTAGATATTTTACATTTTTCATTTTGATGTGTTGTTAAAATCTTAACAAGCTTTATCAATGCAGTTGTAGGTAATTGTTCATTTTTAAAGATTGAGTCAGAGCACTGTACTTGAATACTCTTATGTTGTGATTTGTAGTGTTGCAGTGATTGCTGAGACATGATATGCACTGTTTTTAGATATGGAATGCCATTTTGTTTCAAAGTGAATACCACCTAAACCATGAGACTGAAATTTATATTTGTAGTTTATCTGTTTTCCTTTCTTTTTTGTTTTTACAGGACTGAAATCCAATCAGTCACTTTTCTACAAAAAATATTGTGGAGTACCATGATTGCATAAAACTTCATGGAATATCTTACATTAGAGTTACAGGTATTCTGTTTCGCAGAGTTCTTCCTTGTATCTTCATACTTGACCAGCTTTCTGTTAGTTTATGTCCCCTTTTGAGATTTTGAAAGTTTTTTCAAGAAGTTCTTTATTGTGTGTTATTTCAGTCGTCTCCTCTTTTGTCCTGTATTAAATTTGCATGTAAGTGTAGTGGTATTTGTACTTTACAAGCTAAGTCAAGTGTTTAAAAATTCATTAATTGAGAGCAATAATTTTACTGTTGGTGTTTAACAAAGCTGCTTCTGGCTCAAGAAGTTCTGTTGTTTTTTTTCTTTTATGAGAGGGGCAAACTTGAAATCTTGTACAGATTTTTGTCCCAGAGAATAATATTGTCTGCAGAGCTCTAGTATTTGTTTGTTCCCATTTAACAGCCAAAGTGCATGTGCACTTCATATTTGGCTGTGGTATAATTACCTGTATCTTTCTTCAGTAATGCTATCAAAAGCCTATGCTTGTTGAATCAACTTATCTTTAAATCTAAGTGGGTGACAAAGACTACCAATTGCAGCCCCTGCCATATATCTGGCAGAACTTCCCCTTTGAGGATGGACAAGTCTTGCCTCCAAAGCTCTAGTTCAAAGGAATACCTCAGAAAAGAAACAATTTTACTCAGTTATGTACAACTTTACATATGTATACGTGATAAATAAGATTTAGTAAATTGATCTCGGTAGTTTCTTGTAATTTTTGTTTCTTTTGTCGCCTGTACATTTATTTTTTTCAATATCATTATGAAGACAATGGAAACGGCTTCACTGTACTTTAAATGTTGTTCTATATATTGCATGATAATATGTCATTTGTACATTATGTTATATTTTTCTTGGATTTTATCCATTGGCAAAGTCTTTGGTTATTTGTTGTGAAAAAATTATGCAGGTTTTCTAATCAGGATTTTTTGCTGAGCTTTTGTTAATTAAGATATTATGTCATGTTGTTTTGTTTGTTTTTTTCTTAAATTCTACACTGGTATAGAAAACTTTCTATTGCAAAATGACGGTTTTCTTATCAGGGAATCTTTGCAACTTATAAGAGCCTTGTTTTGCTTCCTTTTCTGTAATTTCTTCCAATGGCCGCTCTAGGCAAAAGAGTGCAGTCCATTTACATTCTAGCATGAGAGCATTTGTTGGTACCTGAAGAGTGGATGTTTTAGCTATGAGGAATTGTAAGTAAGACATAAAAATAATTTTTAATAGCTCTTTCATTGGTTTTGTAATCAAGAAGGTAACTTATTCAAAACTAGCTTATGGTTAGATTAGCTGTTGTATTACATTGCTGTTATTGTAAATTGCTTTTCTTCTGTCCATTTTGCACATTACTTCTCAAACAACCAGTAAATAATAGGAGTCATTTGATAAGATCATGCCCTTATTTCAGACTTCTAAAGGCATGATAACTTGCTCCTCCAGTTTTGCTTGATTAGGAACTTGCTGTTCAAAGTTTTGTAAATTTTTTTGTTTACTTTTTTTCCATCCAGTACTAGTGAACAGTTTGGTTCTTTTTACCTCTTGAAATTCTTGCTAATGTATCCCTTTTTTAACCCAAGGAAGATTACAATTTGATGTTTTTAAGCATCACACTGTTCTAAATAAAATGTATGCCAGCCTTTTTACAGTTCTTTTGTTTTGTTTTCATGTGATTTTTATTATAGTGTTTATTAGCTTCTAATTAAATTTGTAGCTCAGTGATTTTTGTTACCATGTGTTAGTATATATCAGAGGGCCTATGTGCAACGTCTTGGTACTCCAATCTCTACACAATGTTCACAAAAAGGAATCATTTGGGTGCTCAGAATATCAGCAAAAGGTAATGTAAATGATCATGCCATGCATTCTTATTGTTTTCCTCACAGGCACTACAGTTTTGAATGTCTGTAGCACTTCTCTTCTGAATAAGTAATTTTTCAATCCATTGATCATTTGTTTAAAAGAAAGTCCTTGCTTGCACATGCTGCCCCATTTGAGTGTCAAACTATGCTAAGGATCTGAAGCTGTGTCAGGAGGATTCCCAACTCCTCAGTTACACAACTTGTATCAATGGCTTTCTGTTAGTTACTTTAGATGTTTTATATGTCACTAGCAATAGACCAGATGTAGTACTCAATACAAGCTCAATTTTTTTAAGAAAACCTTGTCACTTTTTTTTTCTCTAGAGAGTGAGGTCCATATGCAGTGTCCACCAAAATGACAAATCCATTAAACAACTGAAGTATTGGAGTCAGGACCCCAAAGCCAATAACACATTTTATTTCCTGAATTTGATTTTATTTACAATTTCAAATAAAGATGATCCATTAGTGTGTAAAACAAAGTGCCACAGCTAGTCTCTGAATAAAGAACAGCAACAGAATGAATTAAAATAGTTCCTACATAATTCTTGACGTAAAAGATTTAGCAACTCAATGGTGAGTTCTAACATTTGAGATAGAATTGCTGATGAAGTTATTAAAAGGAGAGGCCTTCTAATTTTATACATCGGCCAGCTCACAACCTTATCCAGTACATGCCAGAACGGATGTTGTTGTAGTCAGGCAACTGTTCCACTGGGCCAACAGCAGCCACAACTGGGCACTTGTCATAAATGTACTTCATGCACACATTCATGATGTCTTTGGCAGTAACACTCTGAAAAATTAAGAGAGGCAGTTACAATTGAGTTACATTTTATGGCAATTAGCAAATTTATTCCACATGCAGGTAACAGAGGTGTTCTCACATCAATACGCTGTTCTAGTTCGTTGATAGGAATTCGCCTATTGTAGCATAGCATTTGGCGGCCAATATCCTCACAGATTGGTGTTGTGCCATCAAGCTGGAGCAGCATATTGGTCTTCAGCAGATTGCGTGCCCTAATAACATCTCGTTCTGTCAAAGAAGTGCACATCTTTTTCCATGCCTCCTGAATGTTCCAGACCATATTCTAGAAAAACAAAATTAGAATGAAGTTAACAAAGAAAACAAATGTTTTGAGGGCCAAATGAAATAGATATGCTTGCCTCAATTGTCATTCCATCTGAAACAAAGTAGACTCCCCAAAGGCCCGTGTCTTTGTAGCAGGTATTGAATGATTGGAAAGAATGGGCACAATTATCCTCAGCAACAATGGCAGCTAAGCCAGATGCATTATTGGCACCACCACCCTGTGAGCGATCCCACGCTCCTAAGAGTGTGTTTGCAACCATGAGGGGGATGTTGTCAGGATCAGTCCAACCACAACCTTCAACAGCAATGGCAATGTGTGCCAAAGGAATGGAATCATCACGCAAGCGAACCTCTGAACCTAGGGTGGATAAAATAAGTCGTTGGATGAGAAAAATGTCTATGGTTCACAACTTTAAAAATTTTACATGTCGTATTACGTCTACATACCAGTGTATCTGCATGGAGACACATCAGGAACTGGGCCATCGATGGTGTCAAGTTTCTTGAAATGTGTCTCTGCCAACTTGACTAATTCATTATGGTCAACACCACCAGCTCCAGCCAAAACCACCCTGGGTGCTTTGTAATGGGTCTTAATGTAATCTTGAAGATCATCTCGGGAAATGCTCCTGAAAATAATCAGTTGAGTATTTTAGGCATCTGTACTGAAAACCTATAGTTCTTGTCACAATACTGTAGGGTAACCCATACGCCCCATACTTTTACTTTTTAGTTAAACTGTACCACATGCTGGCGTGTGGGTGAGCTTGCCATCGTTGCTCACCGTGGCCACTTATGGTGCCGGGCAAGTAGATGACCTACCCATACGCTTGAATACGATGTGATACAGTACAAGACCAAAAAGAGCAATTACAGTGCCTGTGGGACACCCCGTGTAAAAAGATTTCAATGCGCACTTAATGTTTTCAGTGGGCCCCAAGATCGTACGCCCAAGAGGAGTTCCTTGGTATGCAGTGGCATGAAGGTAGTCAAAAGCCACTTCCTGTAAATTAGTTTCCACCTCCTGCATTTCACGCAAAATCACGCTGCGCTCACGTTCAATTTCATTAGAACCTACAAGAAAGAATTGCTTCAGAACAGTAGATAAAGAACACTCATTTAGCTAAACAAGTATGACACAGTAAAATCTTTACCTAATGTCGAATTTGTGATGATGTCAGAGAGGATTTCCACTGCTTTTGGGACATCTTGCTTCAGGCATTTGGCATAAAATACTGTCTGCTCCCGAGATGTGTAGGCATTTAGGTGTGCTCCCATATTTTCTACTTCAAGCTCGAGGTCTGTCTGTGATCGTTTGCTAGTGCCCTAATACATACACGTCAAAAAAATTAGTCTTAGCTATTTCAATTTTGAAACAAAACAATAAAAGCAGTATTGAAGTTTGCTAAATCATAAATACTTTGAATGCCATGTGTTCCAAGAAATGGGCGACACCATTGGTTTGTTCTGATTCATATCTGGATCCTGCGTCTATCCACAGACCAACAGTGGCAGTGGGAGCACCAGTATCTTCTGTGGCAACTCTCAGACCTGAGTTTAGAGCTGTGATGCATGTTGGAGGAACATTCACATCTCGGATGAGAGGATTCGCAGCAGTTGAGCGCCATCTCAAGGGAGCCTGGCAACAATGACAACATCATTTTAAGTAAACAAGTTGTACATGGAGGGAAAAAAACACGTCGCAAACAGACTGCGGAAATGAATATCTAGTTTTCTGACAGCATAATCCGTCCACTGTTGCAACCTCTAAAACTTAAGTGGTAAGGTTATAAGGCGGTTTCAAAACCAACCATAACATAGCCGTTATTAGTACTCCCTCTGAAGCAAAGCAACTTTTCAAAAAACAATATAGAGTCCATCTACAGAATGAAAGAAAAGTCAAGACTACAATCAACCGAGTTAATTTAATGAAATTTTGTCCTCTACAGCTGACACCTTTGACTGCTACTTTGGAATGAGGGTGGGCCTCAAGAAAGACATTCACAAAATGACAAAGGGTTATTTTGATTATCCTACCTGGTTTGCATTTTTGGACAACCTCCTCAAAGTGCCCGAACTTAGTCGCACAAGTTGAAACGCCATTTCTGTAACAATTTGCCACCGATAGAAAGGGCAGCAGCGGGAGGACGACGAGGTTGAAGAAGCAGAAGAGTGTAAAAATCTTTGTATTAAATCGCAAAGGCAGTGTAAGAGAAAAAGAGGAGACAGTGACACCAACCGTCCGTCAAGCGTTTAAGGTAATCTGACGAGGAGGTGCACGGCAAACTGTGTTGTCCATTTGAAAAATCTTTTATTTGAAAATAAGAGAAAAATTAATTTGATCAAATCATCCTCACACTTAGGATGCACAAATATGTGGAACTGAACGTAAACGACCACATGGTGAGTGGTGGGGGAAAGCCATAAGCTTTCAGGAAAGGACCCCTAGCAGACAATCCGGGTCACGGGTTCTGCTGTCACAGTCATATGATACAATGAAGATGGCTTCTTTCAAGATGTACTTAACTGCTATTCTAGCTTGTATTTTAGGAACAATATTTTCAACTAATGCACATTCTCATGTGCCTGTGTTATTATGGCAATCACACAACGGCGCTGAGAGTGAGCTCAATCCACCAGCTTTATCCAGAATGAATGTGGAAGAATTCGCTGATGTTTTGATGCGGCGGGTAGAGGCGGATCACAATCCTGTGGTTGTTCTTTTCGTGGAAGACACTCTGAGTATTGAAGATTTTAGCAGACAGAGCTCTGGCCGTAGCTCTCTCTTTCCCGCATTGCAAACCATCAAGGGAGATGTGAAACTTGAGTTTATTCCTTCTGTCCAAACCCCAGTCAAGGCACTCAACAGGCTCTCCAAGCTGGGTTACAAGTGGGAGCAAATTAATGGGGAAGTGCTACCTGAAGCCAATAAGAAAATTCTTATTGTAAATTTGAGTGACTTGAAAGTCAAAGAAGACAGACCATCTATGCTGCTGCAACATGATAAGTATATGACGTCTTTGTACAAGCGCATGGTAACCGTTTACCCAAACATTTTGGCTGTCTACACTGGACGGCATTCATCATGGACTGCACCTGAATCTCGTGTGAGACGTGATGTTGAGCCTACAAGTTCCCCTGCTACCAGCTGCAATGTAATTCTGACCTCTTCAGGAACTGCTGATCAAATAATGCTTTACACATCTGAATGCCCAGTTCTTACAATCAACAACACCAGCTTCAACCTCACTTCAGGAGAGGCTGTAAGTTTCTTAATATTTCTATCAATAATCAAAATTTCCCCTTTGAAAAAAAAAATAAGGGACTGTCTAAAATGTGTTGTTAAGTATTAATTTTATCTTTATATAATGAAATTTCTTTTGAATATTCACAGCTTAGTCCTGATACTCGAAAGGAAAGCCAAAGAATGATTTTAAGGTACAAGCTCGGGAACTCTTCCGATAAAGTAACTGTTCGTTTCCGTTTCAATTTTACTGATGATGGCTATTGGCAACTAACTCAGGTATAGTGCAAGTAATACTGTTTCGGAGTTAGTGAATTTACTGTTTATTTATTGACGGATATAACATTCAAAAAACTGTTTACAGGCTGAGTATGAAAATTCAAATGCTCAGAAATATTTGCTGGAGCCCAAGTCCACTATCCGTGCGGCACTTAATAACTCCTACAATTGTGGTAGTGTCGCATTATTTCAAAATACTGACAAATCGCAGGGTAATGTAACCTTGTGGTTGAAGAATATCAAGGTAACTGTTCTTAGATGAGGGGTCGGCCACATATTATGTCACGGGATTAGGGGGGGGGGGGGTCTCGCGTGACTGTCTGTGCCGTGGAGGGGGGTAAAGGTGTACCTTAATGAACGCCTTACGAGGCAACACTGATTTAATTAAAGCGCCTACTAGCTGCTGCGCGCCAGGCTGTGTGGAGACGGCGGCACACCTGGAGGCCCTGGCCCCAAGTAGCGTGGAAGCGGCGACGTAAAGTACACCTGTCATTCACCGTTACGAACCTGTCAAGTTCTCTGGCTCTAGCAGCCGCTAGAGTCCATCGAGCTCCCATAGCGCCTGGTAGATAGGCAACATCCTGCATACAGTACACGAGTGTACAGCGGGGTGGCCTACCCCGTGTCTCGCAGGCGCCTGCCCTGGCCCTAGTAAGCTAGAGAATCCATAACTAAAGTTATAGCACGAACACCATTCACCCAAATCACGTCACGCCTCCTTACTCTTTTTCACCCCCAAATAAAAAGCAACCACTGTAAGGTCCACGGGCAACAGCCTACCTATATGTGGCCAAAAAAAAAAAAAATGTCTAAAATCGCCTGACATAATATGTGGAGGATCCCTAACTGAATTTTGAACCGTTTTCAACATGTATTTTATGATCTAATTCGCCCATTTTCAATTCTGTCCAGGTTCAACCAAGTGTTCAAGGTGGTAAATTTTCAGCTTCAGAGGATTGTGTTCCATACTTCACTATCCCAATATGGTCTGGTTTATTTGTGACCTTCCTACTTCTTTTTATTGTTGCTTGGGGAATCGACATGATGATGAGCATCCATACAATGGATCGCTTTGATGACCCTAAGGGCAAGCCTTTAGTTTTCAATGCTCAGGAATAACAGAACAATGTCAGAAAAGAAACCTAGATGTTCTGGCAGGTTTCTTTTTTTCATGTGAAAAGGAAACCTACCCAACATCAATTTTAATGAATAATTAGGTCAGGTAGTGAAGGTCTTGCAGGTCTTTTCCAACTACAGTATAGCCTGAAGAAACTAAATGCTGTCCCACCCTTTTAGTAAGGCACAAAACTCAAGCAAGTTTACAGCTAATTTGTGCCAAGAAATTTGTAGATAATCAAGCTAATGTGAAAATCTTGTTTTTGTACAGAACATTCCATCTAAATGTGTCCTTAAAATATCATGAATCTAGTCTGAGAAAATGTGAAGAATTAAGAAAACCTACATGTAAAAATTCTTTTAGTCAAGCATCACTTTGAACATTGTTGTTCTGCCGTTTATATATTTTATCTAAGATGGAATTTGATTTATAGGAAAAAAATTGTTTTTAAAGGGTTGCATTTATTTGTGTTCTTTTAATTTTGCTATCATGAAAATGCAGTAGAACTTGACTAGTAAATGAATCATGTGGTTGTGTGTGTACCGGGTGTAACTGAGAATGCGCAACAGTGTTGCGGGATTGCATACCCGCCAGGGCTGCAGGGGCCATGGCGCCTTACGGGCTAACTGGGTAGGCAAACCCGCAACACTGTTGCGCATTCTCAGTTACACCCGGTACATGTAGTATCTCATTCATTTAGTTTCCTAGTGTTCCATCAGTATTGTTCTACAACCCCATGAAAAGAAATTCTTTTACTTTACAGCAGTATTTTTTAAAAGTCAGTAGTTCTAACAATGTTTAGTAATCTGCTGCTGGTGATGACAACTGGATCAATGTAAGGTGCAGCAGAAACCTATCTCCAGGACATGATCACTCATGCCTGCACATCCAACATTCTCAGGTTTTATTCTTGAACGCACAATTAATGTAATTGAAGCACTTTTTTTCCTATTATTGTTACAATGGTGCTAAATTAAGTACCTTTTCAAAAAAAAATACAGGCTCTTTGATTGCAGATATGTAACCAAATTTTTGTAATCTATTTAATCAACACTGCTAGTTGATTGTTCTTGTTTTCATTAATTTTTTTTTTGCAAAAACAATTTTGTAACTTCTGAATGCTAGCTACCTAAGAGTTTTGGCTTCAGTGCATTTTTCTGCATATTGTGATTTACAAGTGCTGTTTATTGTACTGTCATGTCTGTACATTTTTAATGATGTCTTCTTGTATCTATATTTTTGTGAATGTTTTCCATTGTTTTAAATCTTCATCTATTTTGATACATAAGAGCAAGAGATTTTTCTTTGACAACTATCTAAAGGTACCCTTTTTCCTCAACAAATGTACTTTTATTCATTTAAGGTCAGTATCTTTGGTAGAATAATCTTAAACGTGTTTCAAATGTTTCATCTGATGTCATAAATTTCTCTATGAAATTATTTATTGACTTCACCTCATGCCCTCTTTTATCTTACTAATATTCTACTTTCAATTTTCATCCAAGTACATTGTTGCTATGTCTGAAACATTAATAGTTTAACTTTTGCGACTTTTCCTGTTTTGGTCAGAGATTGGAGCTCTTATCAGCTAAGCGATGCATAGATGAAGAACAATTTTTTTGGTCCGGACAATTTTCTGTCCATTAGAAAAAACTTCTCTGTATTAATTTTGTGTACTGCAATGTCATCAAAGTAAAACTTTTCCCTTGTGCAGTTTCCTAGTCCACAGGTGTGACAGTTTACTGTAAATCTGTAATTCTGTTTGACATGTGACCATCTTTATGTCTGGAATTGCTTATGTGCCAAACCTAAAGTGGACATAGGGATTTTCAAATATTTGAAATACTGTATCTACTTTTAAAAAAAAAAAAATAGTTTTCTGGCAGTTGATGTAAAGGAACTGATAGGTAATGGTACTAAAGGTGTCGAAAAGATGTAGCAAATCTTACCAGAGAATATAGGTTTCAATTTAATTTTGTTTTAAGCTAATTTCTGCTTGGTATGTCTCTGCTCTTTTTTAAAACATTTCACCAAAAGCCAGAAATTTTCCCATTAGGTACAGCCTTATCTACCTTGGGACACTTCTTCATGCATATATGTTTGAAGCTTAAGTACTTCTGTGCTTCCACTGTGTTTTGAGGTTGTTTTTAAAATTAACTTAGCTCTTTGTGAAGGAGTGTCCCCTTGCAAGTACTTGGACTGGTTGCACTCAGTTAAGAGAGATTGATTTGTTTTATTTCTGTCCCTTTTCTTTCATGTCAAGTGATTCCCATTTATTGTGATTCCCATTTATTTCTTGCACAGCATTGGGCATAACATATCAAAGTGGTGAAAATAACTTAGGCTTGTTGTTTAAAATTCATCAAATATATTAACTTCAAAGACATATCTTCAACAGTCTGATGATGTTTAAAAGTTCAGTTTTTAAATGAACTGAAACTTTATAAGGCTTATATTTATGACCTTGTCTTTAGACTTACCGCTTAAACATATCATATTATCATAACATATCAGTAAATTAAGATTGTCTTTTAAAAAATCAATTTCATTTTATTATCTAAAATTATAAAATTTTCAAAACACACAAGTTTGTTCCTCTTTATGCACTCTTCTCCTCAAGCTGCACTGTACTGAATGTTATGCATAAGTAAAAGAAAGTAATGTTGTACACAGTAAAGCAAAAGTATTGCTTCAAATGTCCTCTGCGTAAAATATGTCGACTAGACTGTGTGCTGATGAATATGTGATTCTTTTGCCTTTAGACTATGTCAAATGTATCTGAGGATTAAATGCAATTCACAACATACTGAGCCCTACGTACTGTAGACATTTGTTGGCCTCTCTATCACAGACAAGTTCCCCTTCAGTCAAATCTGGTAAAAGCGAATAGCAAAAACTCGCTGGTAGTGAACACGAATCTGATTTCCGTTCACACCCGAGCCATGCTAAAAACTCTGCATATAACAAAATCTGCTTAAAAGGAACACAATTTGGTTTCATGAAAAATTTTCTTAAACCACATTTGACTCCTATATGGAATATGATATGCGCTCTCTCATTTGGTCATTTGGTAACTTAACGCAATAACAATAATTTGGCCTTTAGAATTAAGAGTTCTTGCAGTTTCATGATAATTTCTTAGGTACTTGTTGCACTTTGAATGTCTTCTGATCAAAATTCTTGGCAATGTCAATGGTCTGCAACAACAGTTAAAACGGTCTCAAAATTCAATGTTTTGCAATTTGGAAAGATGTGGTTATTACCAAAAGCAAAATACTTAATCACATTTAAACACACCTTGGATGGAACAAGCCAGTCCAGAGTTTTCAAAATTAGGTGACACAGAGCTACCACCAGCATAAAAGGTAATACACCTCCATTTATGTAACTGTAGTAAAAAAATTGATCAACCAATAACAATAAGGACTGTAAGTGGAGGGAATAAGGTTTTACTGTGCTCACCATTGGAGTTGTTCACCAAGCGGTTTTGATTCATCCTTGGTAACGATGTCATAAACCACTTCAGTACGCTGTGACACATCATTCCAATTATATAATGATGAGACTTGCCTATGGCATTCAAATGGATCAACTGCACAGCCTCGTGCTAAGTCCTCCATAGCTTTCTCTAGGCCCTCTACCAAAGCTTTGAAAACAGAGACAGATTTTTAAAAACTACAGCAAGAGGTACAAAGAAAAATTGTCAAAAAGGTACATGGGTACATACATGGAACGTCTGGTTCAGTGAGATAAATAAGCTGAGGGGGTAACACTTCAGGAATACCTCCAACTCTTGTACTTACAACTTGGAGTCTAGCAAAAGATAAAAACATTTCATTTGTCAAATCATTCAATTGTCTGAGCATAATTTCCAAATCAAAGACTCTAAATTTAACAATACGTGCTGAACTAACCCACAGGATGCTGCTTCTACAATAGCCATACAATAGGCCTCTGTAAGAGACGTATTGAGGAAAATGTGACCACGAGTCAGAACATTTCGAATTTGTGAGTGTTCTAGGGCACCTAATAGTTCAACTCTATCCTGTAGACCACAACGTTCTCTTACTTCATCCAAGAGCCATCGTTTGGGTCCATCTCCACAAACAATAAACTTCACCTGACAACACAATAAAAAAAGTGTGGATTAGATTAAAAAGTTACAAACAACATCATTCTTCAAAGTGTTGTCTTACATTTGGGTATTTAGGGCCAAACTCCTTAATAATTTGAGCCATAAGATCCACACCCTTGCGATACACAAGTCTCCCAACAATAACAATAGTCACTGGAACACAAAATTTTATCAAGTGTACAGATCTATTTCCATTTTTGCATTTTTGTTTTCCCTTTGAGCGTTGGTCTACAGATCAAATATTATTACCATAATCCTCTGACCTATTTCTCGGATCTGGTGAAAAAGCCTTTGTATCCACAGCATTTGGGATTACAGAGACGCGGTTACTTTCAACTCTTGCTCGCAATACAGTATTCTCCTTCCTGCTGAAGAGAAAATTGCGCATTTTGAGATTTTCAAAATAAAAGTTTTAAACATTGTAAATAATAAAAGGTTTAAAATAAAACAGACCCTGTATGTGACACACAGATGCAATGATTACAACTAAATAAGGATATTTGCAAGAATCTATTAGTGATGACTGCTGATGTATCAGCAAATCCAAAGAGAGAATGGTCAGTGAACACACACTGCAAAAGATGAAAAAATATATATGAAAACTTACAAAATTTTACCAAAAAGACAAAGCAAACTCAAACATTAATGTTAAAGTACACTTACCCTAAGATTCATTAAATGACCTATTAACATTGCTTCATGTGCAAGAGCAGAAAATGCAGAATGACCATGAACTATTGTAATTTGTTCACGTATGAATATGTAACGGATGATGGGTAGAGAACATATCATGGTAGGGAGTACGCATTGGTTATAAAATACTCTAATAGGCAGGTAATACACCTTCATAAATAAACAAATAGTTAATATGTTAGCATTAATATGATAGATTCAGAGAATGATCAAGAAAGAAGGAAAATTTAACTAATTTACCTTCAGTCCATTTGTCATGTAACGCACACCCACTCGGTCATTATAAGAATGAGTAACAATTATCACCTTATGACCACGGCGAAGGAGACATTGTGAAAGGTTGAAGATATGCTCTTCAACTCCTCCAACATTTGGGTAAAAAAAGTCTGAGACCATACTGAAAAGAAACAAATCAATGTGATGACAATTATGTTCCTCAATCACCAAAACAGTCTGCTATGATGAAAATAATTTAGAAGTATATTTAAAGGGTTTTGTTAGGGTACACCAAGAATCCTTATTGATTTTAATTAGGTGATGTAATAATTAGTACAAATAATGTGATAATACATTATAGTAAACTAACCAAACCTGATGTGGCATGACTCTTAATTTTATCGAATATCCCGAGATAAGGAAGGAATCTACAGGAAAATCTATAGATTTAGAAGTGCAACTGCTTTCAATGCATTAAATGAGTCTAAAGTTACGTCATTCATTTTGAATTGCTGCCTCTCGAGTAGAAATAGTTCGGCTGATTAGCGGGTGGGCTTTATCAATCAAGAGCCCCCCAAGGAATAATAATGAAAGGAGCGTCTGCTGGCTTATTGTTTACCTTTTTGTTTGTCTTTACTTCTTTTTAAACTCGCAACATTCGAAACGTGGCGCTAGAAGGCGGAGGTCTATCTAGGTCGTCAAACGCCAATATGGCGAATGTGAGGGATAGTGACACTTCGTTGTGGCTTCACAATAAGTTAGGAATATCGAACGATTCGTGGACTGGAGGGTCAATATGTTCACAACTCAATGCCGAAGTTCTACGCAACATAAAAGCATGTTTTCCGGACCTTCAAACGCAGGTCAAACTCAAACTACTGTTATCTATTTTCCACATCCCGCGCAGGAACGTTGAGGAGGTATGCTCATAATAACATAGTGTTTATTTACTTTTGGTGATAGCTCATTCGCAACACGATCATCGTTTGCCTTGAATTAATACTCGATTGTTTGTAGGGCACATTTACCCCCTGTATTGAAAGACTCTATCTAGACTTCAGATAGGTTATAATATATTGATTTTCCTAACCTTATACTTTTTAAGCTCATCATACATCGGTTTGAGTTTTATATTTTCTGTCTGATCTCTTAGTGTACTCCACATTTTTTACAATTTTCACTCCCTGTTTTATCAATTTTACTTTAGTAACACACATTCATTTGAATTTTTATTTTTGAAATAACTCCTGTATAATTTTCATTTTTGAAATAACTCCTGTATAATGCAAATTTACATCCTTAACCAGCCAACCGATTGATTCAATAGTGTCTGTGTTGCTGATGTTATGTCCTTTGTGTTATTATTTCAACCTAGCTATTTTTTTTTATTATTTTTAAAATTTTTAAATTCCTTTCTGCCAGTGGCGCCATGAGCTGGATGACATACTTGTGGTAGCATTAAATGACAGTGAGGCATGGGTCTCAATGTTAGCTGAGACTATGAGAACCCTACCTTCAACAGGGTCATTAAATCTGGAAATACGACACAATGACGATAATCAGCGAATATTTTCAGACCTTGTTAATGATTTAAGGAAATTAGGTGAGTCTTTTATAATTTTAATCTGCTGCATGTTTTATTTTACTTTTCTCTTCATGCCACAGTGTTTTATTTTCAGTACGCAAACAAAATGATGGTGGAATGTTACCCTTGGAATGTCATTACCTGAATAAAAATGCTTTGGTAACTGTTGTGGGTCAACAGGTAAGCTTAACCACTCCTTTTAATGTAAATGTCATTGGAAGAATTGAATTCATTTTGGACTTCTATCATTTGTGTCGTAGCCCCAACCAGTGAAGCATTTTGCTTTAAAGCGAAAACCGAAATCAGCTGCTTTGCGGGCTGAGTTATTATCGAAGTCAGCAGATGCTGTGAGCCACCTGAAAAAGAGTGCTGCACCTACTGTTCCTGTTCGCTCAAGAGGAATGCCAAGAAAAATGACAGATACAAGTAAGAAACAAATCTGGTCAAGGTAAGCCAGTTGAAATTAATTGTTGTCTAAATTGCATTTTCCGTCTCTTCTTTTCCAGCTCCTCTGAAAGGAATTCCTAGCAGAGTACCAACGGGAGGATTTAAATCCCCTGTCGTTAGCAATCAAAATAATCAACGTGTCTCATTAGGTCGTACACCAGTAAATCGCAAAGATGGTGGAATAAAACTTATTGATATTAATGAACAACCCTTAGGGTATGCCCAAGCTAAAAAGAGAAAGAAGTTGCAAGGTATATTTAAATGGATGATAACCACCAATCCGCTTTTGAGATTGTATTGTCAAAATTGTCTTCTTTTTACCACCAGAAACTGAAGATGCACGGAAAGCTTCAGAAACAGCAGCAAGCCAACAGGCAACCAATGCTGCAGCTACTGCTGGTACTGCTGCTTCTAGTGCAACTGCAGCACCAGGCACACCTGCCACCCCAGTTACCCCTGATTATGCAGCAGGCCTCGCACCTATTAACCCACCAACACCAGCTCAGTCATCTGCTACAGTTCTCACAATAGCTAATCCAGGTAGTGTTTTCAATGTATCTATTTTAATGACAACAATCTCTCCTCTATTCAAACCGTCATGTTAAAATTGCTGTTCTTTATTTTCTACCTTTAGCTGGTAATCCACAAACACCAGTGGCTCCAGGAGAAACTGTAATTATTTTGGTAGGACACGTTTCTTTTCTTTTTGTAACCCTATTCAAACATGCCACTTAAACACAGCACCCATTAATCATTCTACATTTCTCCTACAGAACCCGTCTACTCCCCTTCCATCAACAGTCGCTGCTTCTTCTGCCACCACAACCGTCACCCAACCGAGGGTTATTGCCGTTAATACCATTGCGGTTGCTGTGCCCTCTCAAGCAGCAGCAACTCCTTCCCAGCCAATTTCTACTACAGCTACCTTAGTAACCCCAGCTGTTGCAGCTGCACAAGCATCTACCTCAGCACAAGCTGCTTCCACAACACCAGCTGCAGCACCAGCCACAACACAACCAGCTCCTCCCAGAGAAAGACGGCAACTCTCTCTTACGGTAAGCTTGTTATATCTTCCCAACTGTTTTGCAGTTCTGCAACCTGGCATCACTCAAAATTTTCTTTTCATTCTTTCAGAGAGAACAAATGGTTGAAGCTCAGGAAATGTTTAGAACAGCCAACAAGGTTACAAGACCTGAAAAGGCTCTTATTCTTGGATTTATGGCTGGATCAAGAGGTAAAAATTGAATTCCAATCGTTTTTTGTTTTGGTTTTTTGTTAGTAAATAGCTTTAATGATTTTGCTTAACTCTCCTTTTAACTCCAAATTCTTCTTCTTTTCTTTTTTTTCAGATAATCCATGTCCACATTTGGGTAACGTTGTAACAATCAAATTAAGTGAAAGTCAGGAAAATGTTCACCAAGAGGGAACTATTGTAACTATGATGGTGGAGACCCACTTCCAAATGAACTACAGCACTGGCGAATGGAAGCGTATCAAAAAAATAAGGAGAGCTGAAGATGTACCCGCTTTGGCTACACCAGTTCAAGCAGCTGCACCTCAACAGCAACATGCAACTGCATAGAATTAATTCTTCCCAGCATTTGTCTACCAGTCCCAGTACCAGTGAAGGAAGACTTTTCTTCTAGGAGCTGTGTTAAATTCTTAAAATAGCTTGAAGAATCTAACAATTTTCTTCTTTGCCAAATTTTCTTCAAAAATTTATACATCTGTACTTTTCCTACTGACAGAATTTTTTAAAGTTTATTTTATGCAGGTATGTCAGTCAGTCTGAATTTCTGCCTATTCTTTCTTGTCATCTCATATGACATAATCTCAAAGTATGATTTCAACTCAAATTATCCCGCTTATTGAAATTTTAGAATATCAATCATTTTTACTGTATTCTAAGACTTAACTGCTCAGGCTGTTGCTGAATACTCTACATGAATGTTGAATCAATGCTTCTAAGGTATGACTGACTATGTGAAATTAACCCATTCATGTTATGATAAGTTTGGTCATTTATTTGGTTATCTATGTACCTATTTGGTGGATGAAGGCAGTAGCATAAAAGAAATTTGATCACCTTCACCATTTGCCCCTGAAAAAAAATAGTGATATCATGAGGAAATATTGTTAAAGGCCCATTGCGGAATTTAATTATATCCCTTTAAAATTATTGGTAACAGGGACTATATTATTCAGACTGCTGATGTTATTCACTGTTAGCTTGCTTAATATTTTAGTTATCTGATGATTCTTGTGATTTGGATTTAAAATGGACAGCTATATTTATGGCATGTGGTCTCTTTTCTGTTTGTTCTTCACATTTGTCCGTCCATACCTCTTGGAAGATTGGCAGACCACCAACTACTGTTGTGAGGAAGATTAGGCCTAGTTTGTGTGTGATCCTTTTCCACTATTTTTTTTTCTTTCTCTGTATGACTGAACCATTAAGTGTGCAAGGAGAGGTGAGAATGTTATTTATTAGTTATATTGGTTGGCTTCCATATTTTTGAGATTGTAGACATAAGGGACTACGCCACTTTCAAGTGGAAGTTAACAATAATAAAAATTTACTATGCTGACTACCCTAGTCAACATGAGCTAACAGCAGCCTTTATGTTTTGGAACAGTTGCAGAGACCCTGAACTACCTTAAGCCAATACATGACCCTGTTGGTCCATGTGTTGTATCTGATACTAATGATATGATCTCAGTACTTCCTATTATTCTTTCAAAAGTTGCAGAGCAAAATTTCTCTCTTCACAAAACATTAATTTCTCTTTCATGACTAACTGTAGCCTTTTAAAAAGAAACAAAACCAAAACATCATCTATTTATGAAAGATTCATAATGATTATTGCTTTAAAAGTCATATCATGGGTGGTTTCCTATTGTCTTTCGGATTTATGAATGTCTTCCTCTCTTGTGTAAGTTTTTAATAAAATAATATTTCATATTTTCGCGTCTGTATGTATTCACATCCCATAGCTTGATCTGCAATTGTTCCACATTTGCCACTGTTCCAGCTAAAATGTTAGTAGTGGTCATATTTTCTCTGTGAATTCATGTGAAAGATTATTTGACATGCGCTCGCTCTAAATGCCATAGGAAACCATTATAATGTTGAGGCAAAATATTTCGCCTACAATCCAATACATTTGTGTTGAACAGTTAACTTAGTTAACCATCTAAAACTGACCAACCTAGACTTGAGTTTATATTAAATTGAGATATTTTAAAATGGAGGGTGTAAGAAATTTGTACTGTAGTCCTAAAGTGATTTATGATGTGATTTGATATATTTTATCTTGTAATATAAAATCGCATATGTATATGAATAAATGTGACTATATGTATAAAATCTGATAGCTTTGTTAGTCAGCTGCCACGCCGTTTTATCGTTCGCTCCGTGAGGTGAGGCCTCTGTACATATCGAGTAGGGTCAGGTTAGGGCAGGGGTCCTCAGTGCGCAGGTAGAGGGTGAGAAAGAGCAAAAGGCCTGAACGCGAGCCTAGCTTGCCGCCCTGGGCCTGGGCCCAGTGCACCTGCAGCTGCACTCAGCCGCAGGCAGGGGGCTGTCCCGAGCGTACGCGGCCCACTGCTCAGGCTCAGGACCAGCCGCGGCTGGGGTAGGGGGATGTTGTGACGCAGAAGCGGTATGGTGCCCCCTCCCCTCGCGTCCCTCGCGGGGCCCAGGCCCGCCCCCTGGCCCGCTCCGTTGGCAGGCGGGCCCAGCACAGCTCGGCAGGGGCGTCACTTGGTTCCGACGAGACTCCGAGAGCGCTTGGTTCAGCACACTTCGCGACTCCACGAAGGCTAGACACAATGGCCAAAGGCAAAGGTGAGTCTCCAGTGACGACGGCGGGCGGTGCCAGGCGCACTGGCTGCGGGGTCATCTCGTCGGGAGCACACGGGGACGACCTGGCCCCCAGGGGCACTCGGGGACGACGTCCACTAGACAGTCGGTCCTGGACGCCCCCGACGCGCGTGTAGGCGTCCTATAAACACTGGGCCTTGGTCGCGTTTCGTCGGGCTGCGCAGGCTGCGTCGTACCCGTACCTCACAGGCACAGGCAGCCCGAGAGCCGTGGGGCGGACGGTATCATCCCCCGCTGGGGGGGTGGCATGGCATGGGGTGGCAGCCGAGGCCGCGCGGACTCCGCAAATAGTGTTCCGTTGGGGCGGCGCGGCCCGGCCATGGCCCGGCGCCTTCGCCTGGGCCTGGCCAATCGATACAGCTGCCCGGGCGCTCTTTATCCCACCTCATCTCTCTCTGGGCCGCGAGGCGACCGGATAACGCGCTCGCGTATGCGTGTGTGTGTGTGTGTGAGAGGGGGCGAATGTTTTCCTGACGGACGCCGCCCGCGGGGGTCGCGTCCCGTCCCCGAGCCAATCGATTGCAACTGCAACCGCCCCGCCCCGCGCGGTGCGGCCTGGGATGGTTTTCAGAGTGTTGTCGGAGGCAGCGTCCGACCCGACCCACCCCCTCCGCACCCCTCGCGAACGGAGCCGAGAGAGCAAAGGGGGTAGCAGCATAAGGCATAGAGGGATGGGGCCCACCCCCGGGTCGGGCCAGCGGCTGGCCAGCCGGTCCCCACAGCCTTGGCGGTGCTGTTGGGAAATAAAAATACCCCTCTCCCCATCCCCGTAACCGTTACGTACTGGTACACAAGGCGGGCGGCAGCCTCCCCCGCGGGGAGGACGCGGAGCCCGGCGGAGGCCGGCGGAGCCCCTCTGACGCGCGGTGCCCGACGTGCCTGGCGCGGGCCGAGGCCCTCCTCTTGGCGTGCCCTGTATGTCCTCCTGGCTGGGCTTGGTAACAGCCGGTTACTCTTCGATCGCGGCTCGGGCCGGTCTTGTGTATACGCGGAGGGAGACTAGCGCCTGCGGATGCTCGGGTAGGCCACCGTCACCGGACCAGACTCGCGCGTGCACCGGGCTGCCTAGGCGCGGCTGCAAGGCGCTCACCGGCGCGGGGGGAGGGAAGAAAGCCCTCGTCCGGGACGGGCTCCCGTGCCCAGGAGCACGGCTCAGTGACACGCTTATTTTTACCCAGCTTGTTGACGGTCTGCTCTCTTGTGTGTTGCAGGTGGCGGTGGCAAAGGGGATGACGTGAGTGTTTGGCGGCCAAGGGCGGGCCGGGCGCGCTGCCAAGGCCGCGACATGTTTTTGACACAAGTGCGATCGCGCTCGCGAGCTCGGCGTCGCTTACCTCCTTTTGTTGTTGTTTTGTCGTGTTGCAGAAGAAGGCGGGCGGCGGCGGCAAGGCGGGCGGCGAGAAGGGAGGCAAGGCGGACGGAGGCAAGGCCGCCGGGAAGAAAGGTCAGTGTCCTTCCGGACCCACCTCAGGCTGCATCGGGCGCGCCCCGCTGCCATTCTGAGCGGGAGGCAAAATGTCAGGCGAGCGCCCCATGCTAATGGGACTGTTTTGGTTTGCAGGAGGGAAGAAGTAGGGTGCCTCGCGCCCCTTGACTTCGCTTCGCAGGCCCCCGGGACCCGGCCCCTGTCTCCCCTCCACCACACCGCGGGCGCTCCACGCCGGGACGTCCCGCCAAACACCAAGTTTTTAGTTTGCAGCGATGTCACCAACTCAGTTAGAGGGGCTCCTGAGGTTTCCCGGTGCGAGCAACGCAGAGCACCCATGCCGGGGCCAATAGATTTGTACACCGTAACCGCCATGTGGTTCTTCACTTCTCGCCATCGCCTTCTCTTCTCTTTCATCCAGTTTCTTTACTGTATCATTCATCGTCCCCAACAAATTCCAATGGTGGTTGGCCCGGTTAAAAGTGTGTTGTAAAACGTAAAATAATAATAATAGAGGTTCAGTATTAATGTTCGTCTGTGACTTTAGCCATCTTTAACCGATCGCTATGCGTTCTACCCTGGCACAGACACTCAGTTCTTTTGCGCGCCGAAATGTAAATGAAAATGTTTCTTTCCCCCTCGACCCATTTCTCATTCATAAGCCTGTGATCCATCCTATCATTAAAGATTAAGACATGTAGTTAGAGTTAAGTAAAATATTAGGGTAGAGTTTATTAAAAATCGGTGACAAAATCCTTTTGTTCTTTATTTATTATTGTACATTCTTTGTAATACTTATTTTATATGT